CACCAGGGAGGTAGCGACATAGGGCTAGAGGCGATGGCATCACACCTTCAGGTAGGAAAGGCACCAGGGGCACTAGGTAGAAATGACTAGGAACAACCCTGGGGAGTCTGGAAGCATGGTTGAAGATTCCTGATTTCACCCTAGCCCCTTTCCCTCCTTCCTTGTATTCTCAAAACGAGCTACATCTGTGCTATCACTCAGCAAGATGGGGGTGGGGTGCAGACGAAGCATGGCTAAAGTAAATCCTTAGTAAAACGACCTCTCACGGGTTAAATAGCACTGGCCTGCCTCAGGGCTCACCTCTCCTTTAAACTATTTCTTTAATCATAATACAACGAAAACGATTTTCAAGTAGCATCTGATGAGCATTAATCGGTCTTTAGACTGAAGAAGGAAAAAAAGCACAGTGAACTTGTGCACTTTTCAGGCTATAATGATTGTTAGTGCTAGTCCTCCTCAGCTGCGTTAAATCACTCCAAGCAGCTATTGGATGCAAGAGTTGCAATACAAATAGCAGGCATTTGTCGAACCACTTGCCAAGATTATTAGGTGCAACCTTCATAAGAATTAAAAATTGTAACTTTAATGTCATTAATCAAAATAGAATCAGTGATACAAAACATGCACACCTCCTAAGTTCATCAGAAGGGGGATTCTGATGGATTTGATTTCTACAGCAAGAAGACTTCTTAGCAACACCCCGACTTCCTACCAGTCCTTCCTTTCCAGGCAAGTCAGGTCACCCAGATTCTAGACCACAGCCAACAAGTTACTGGAACTTAACACAGACTTGGAGGGAGAGAAAAAGGAACAAAGTGAGTGTGATGGCCATAGCTGTAAATAAGCACAGGAAAACCAGGAGGAACAGACATGGCACAGAATCACTGGAATCCTTCTATAGTACAGAAAAGCAGGCACTAAACATAAATTCAGGGCCTGGCCACCAAACCAGACTCATCATTTCCAATTTTCATAATACAGTGCTCATTTTCATGCCATATTTTTGGGGGAAAAGAAGAGAGCAACAATCTTACTCTGTCATTTAAACAGTCCCTGAAAGTGCTCAGGAGCTACACTTTTCAGCACTTGGTAAAGCTTTTTTTTTTTTTTTTTTCTTTTTTGCTTACATGTGATAAGTGACCACTTTTTATGTGACAGCTATGTGCTTCTGATTTTAGAACTACAGGTTTTGAGAAGGCAAGTTAATAAAGAGAGCCGTTTCTATCAACAACTCAAAATTCATATAACTTCAAATTTCTACTTGATGTTAATAATATGGTTCAGTCTGTCACCTTGGGCATAATCTTTTTTATTTATTTATATTGGAAACAAGCTTCTTTTACATGTCAATCTAAGTTCTCTCTCCCTCCCTTCCTCCCCTGCCCCTGACCGACCCCTTTATACCAATCCCTTTCTGCTCCCCAGGGAAGGTGAGGCCTTCCATGGGGGATCTTCAAAGTCTGTCATATCATTTGGAGCAGGGCCTAGACCCTCCCCAGTGTGTCTAGGCTGAGAAAGAATCCCTCTATGTGGAGAGGGCTCCTTGGGCATAATATTTAATTGTTTGAACCTCAATGCTTTATTAAGAAATTAGGATAATAATTATTAAAAAAATTTTTTGGGGGGAGAATGAAAGTTGGGTATTTCTGAACAGATTAACGGGACAAACTATTAAAAAATGTAAACTATAGAGCATTTTAGTATAATCCCCATTCTGTGCCATTGTACCAAATGCCAAATAAAAAGGCATGGCAAAATATAAAAGTGCTGAAATTAGGTGGTTAGTGGTGGCACACACACCTTCGATCCCAGCATTCGGGAAGCAGAAGCAGGCGGATCTCTCTGAGTTCAATGTCAGCCTGGTCTACAGAGCGAGTTCCAGGACAGCCAAAGATACACAGAGAAACCCTGTCTTGAAATACCTTCCCCCAAAAAGAGTACTGGAATCACACTATAAATTTGCTTGATATCTATCATATAGATAAAATTACAGCTCTGGACTCAGAACTGTGGGCTTTAAGGGGGTAAGAGTAATAGGGTGCCTTAAAACTCTGGGTATCACACAAAATACATTACAATGTGATTCATTATTTTGTGTGTTCCAGTTTTAAGACAACCTCATAAATAATTCATTTCTAAAGCCCAATTTAGAATATAAGGTATTAGTGAAGGAATGATTCACAACTTACACACATCTCAAGTTCACTCTTCCATCACTGGCCTATCTACTCAAGTTTAACAGAATGTCCATTATTCACTACTTGTTTACTTTTATAGATATTTTAAATTACAAATGGGTTACATCCTAATAAGCCCATCAAAGGTTGAAAGTACTAATAGGTGGAAAATGCATTCATTAAATGCTTTACCTACAAAATGTCAGAGATGGTTATCAACAACCATGACTGTTACAGGACATCTTTAGCCCAGGAAAGGTCTGTTGAGTGCCTATGGATGTTACACCACTGTAAAGTTAAAACATTGTAGTTTTGAGTCCTAAATCAAACCAAGCAACCTGCCGTCACTCTGAAAAAATCTATTACCATTACCAATTTTCTTTCCTATAACACATAAGTTCTTATGATGTTGGCTAACTTTATTTAATCATGTGTCCACGTGTATATAATATTTTGGTATTTTTAATCGATGATGAATTTATTGTAGTGTAACCCATTTGTAGTTTAAAATATCTATAAAAGTAAGCAAGTAGTGAATAGTGGACATTCAATTAAAAAACTTGAGTGGATGGACGGATGATGGAAGCTGTGAACTTCAGATTTGTGCGTGCACTATGAATCATATTTTCATTAATACCTTGCATTTTGGGTAAATACTAAACTGGACGTTAGAAATGAAATATTTACAGATCTCAGAAGTGGATAAAGCTGGGGTATGGCGATAAAATACAAAGGCTCTGGGGTAAAGACGGCTGGGGTTGCTTACTGTTCCATCACCTCAGTGTCCACCCCTGGAAAAGGTGGTAAAAACACCTAACTTCGGGTTTGTGAGAAAGACTCAGATTTCCAAACTCTCCTTCGCTAGATGGCACTTAACTACTAAGTATTATTTATGAAACTCATAGAAATAAAACTGGGTGTATGGGGGCTCATACCAAGTAAGAAACGCAGACGCGCTAAAAGCACTAGTTTAAAATATCTACTGGGAGGGCTGGAGAGATGGCTCAGCCGTTGGCTCACAACCAAAAATAAAATAATCTACGGGGGTTAAATAAATCCCTTTTATTGTAAATTAAGTTTCAAGTGTGTTTTCCGGCACTTTCGTTTTGAAGCTAAAGATATAAAAGTACGTAACATTATCCATATATGCCCAATCCATCGAGCATTGAGTTTATCTGATCAAACGCAGTAAGGCTTTGTGATCTCCAAAGGCAAAAAGCAACATCTGAAGGTCATGGCAGGTATGACCCAGGGTTGT